GAGCAGCACTGTTTGACGATTACTCTTTTGGCCTTATTGTGGAATGTTCATAATACTGCTTTTAAGCCAAAGTTTTTTATTTGAAAATTTTTACTTTCGAAACTTTTTATTTTAGCAATTTTCGAAGGTGGCCAATATTTTGTACAACTGCAAGCATCCAAAAACTGACCGACATATGCCAATGATCAGCAAGGAGGTGTATGATATTATCCAGAATAATGCCAATGCAAGTTTTTTTTACTGTAGCACTTGCATCGCTTGTTCTTTTCCCGTTTTCAAACTGAAATATGATGAATGTTTGGAGAATGAAGCAAGAAGACTGCGAGCTTTTACGCTATTTCTTTAGCGATATCATTTTGCTGCTGCATGTGTTAATTTCGTCTGTTTAGGAGAAAGGCCTTCAAAATTTTTCCTCACCAGTCTTTTTTAGAGGTTGGATTCTGCGATTCTGCACGAGCGCGATTATTCGTTCACTTATTTTGGTTTCAAAACTCTGGAGCGCTCTTATCTTTTGCGCATAAACGGCGAAGTATCTGAACGCCCGCAGCACATGTTAATGAGAGTGGCACTTGGAATTCACAAAAAAGATGTTTACGCTGCCATCGAGGTACGTGTTACCTAATCTGTCAATTTTTTGTGCACATTCCTGAAAAGTTTGTGCTTTTGGGGCCTAGGATTATCCTTCTCTCCTGGCTTTTAACTTTCTAATAGATTTTGCCGTATTGTTTTTAATCTGAAGGTAAAATGCTTTTGTCCTGTACTATCAAAATTTTGTGGCAAGCAATTCAGTTTAACTGACAAAAAATCATTTTTCGTCCTGTAATTACTTTTTTTTGCGTCAGAACTAATTTCTATGTTTTGCAACATACCTTTATTATTTAGCACCAAACCTTCCCCAACTTGTTTATTACAATTTTGTATAAGCCAGCTTTCGCGCGTCCAGATGCGCCAAATATATCCGCATCAAAGAAGAATCAGTTTACAGAAATGGTCAAGTAACGGTGCTGAAATTTTGTGAAGATGTTCGTTAGCCGTATGTGATCCAAAGATTTTAAATCCAGCATAGAGTTTCGTACAGGTTTCGTGTGAGCGCAAATGAAAGTTCAATTTGGGGCAGTGCTGGTGCCAGTTAACTCAGTTACCAGGCTGAGCAGTATTTTCGTATGCATGCTGCACATGTGTACTCTGTAAAACTAAAATGAGCTTTTGCTTACTCATGTATCCCGTGTGCAGATGCATTCAAGCTGTAACACTGTTGT